GAAACAACTGAATTATACAATCAGATATGATGACAAAAGTTAATCATGCTAAGTTAAAACAAATAATCACAATGGTTGTGCGGAGGTTTAATTCAATATAAATAAAACCCTATCCCAAATCTTTGGTGCATATTGTATTACATAAGGAAGAACTTCACATCAATAATAAAAGAACTGGTTTAATTTTAATTGCCCGAAACGCTATGCGTACTAGTGGCTTTAGGTATTGTATGTACTACCTCTATCTTTAATTATTAAATCAAACAGAATGTTTGTACTGTAACTCTGCAACTATGTATGTACTTTTCCTAAATAAATTATTATTATTATTATCATTATTATTATTTAGTGTTGGGTTTAACGCCAATCAACCTACGGAAGGTTATTAAGGCAACAACAACAACAACAGCAGCAGCAGCTTAGTGACCAACCAGCAAGAATACTTTAGTCCTGAAGTACAGTACACAGTGTACATACACCGAGGAGCGGGCTCCAGGTCGTGTATATCCCCTGTGTACCGTCACCACCAACCATGACTCACGACCACGAGGGATTATCATAGATCACCACCGCCTGAAACTTTATTTGTCAACCGATTCCCCCAGAATTCGGATGCCATAGTACTACCGTCAATGACAGAATTTAACAAATAACCTATATCTGGAGGACTATCAGGATCCAGTAAGAAGTTGTTATTTAAGATTTTAATTATACGTAATTACTGTATTAAGCTCACAGTCGAGGAAGAACTTATGTACCAAGTGAGAGAATAGCGTTGTTGGGGGTGAAAGCTGTTGCTGTGTCAAAACTGAAACGAACCTGACGGGGTAAGAAGTATGCTAAGTTAAGCTACAATAGAAGTTTCTAACAACATAGTAGCTACAACAGTCTCTAGTTACAATGTTATCCTTATTAGGAAACAGGATACAGTTTAATTCAAATGTAGTAAAACAAGGAAAACGGAGCAGTGAGAACACAGGTGTTATACGTACATCGGCAGCCATGAGGACATTTGTTAAAGAATCTCCCATCGCCAGCCTCCCCCAGCCAGAGATGGTACATCGCTGACCAGCCTCTACCTCCTTCCGCGTTTCCAGGGCGATGGGCACACCTCCAGAGCCAACTAGCGGGTGAGAACCAGTGGTAAGTGACTCGAAGCCAAATTGTATTTAGAACCATCAAATGCAAAATTTTCACTTCTGGAACTTGTTCAGGAAGATTATATATAAATCCCCCTGTTTGGAATTCTCATTTTAATCAGTAACTGTAGGAACAGCGTCAATCTCTGGCACAGTGGAGCTGCCGGAGACGCTCTGCTTGATTTTAAGGTCCAAAAAACTTATCAATAACATGGCCTAACACAACCTCGCAAAGATATGAGACTGTTAAGAACAGTTAGGCTCACAGAGTGTTCAGTTTCCTGGTCCAGTGTTTGTGTTGTGATCATTGGAGCACACATTGCATCCAAAAATCCCCCTCTAATGCTTTGTGTGTGTGCTTTTCTCCGAGGCTATTGCTACCCCCACGACCCCATGAAGTCTGAAATGGCGTTTTTTTTCCAGAAAGTTTTTTAGCTGACTATAAAATTACATATATTGACCTGTAAAATGAATGTTATAATAGATTTCCATTCTGGAGGCTCATAACACTTACTTGGCGTACACTTTTTGGGTCGACCTGGGTACCATGTACCTCATCCATTATAATATAAAATTTACTCGTTGACATTGATTAAAAGTCGGCAATAGCATAATATCGATATATTTTATAATATGGCTATATAAATTATTTGTATCTGTATCTACGATGAAACAAAAATTTATAACAACTTTCTCGTACCTCTGGAGGTGATGTCGGAGTCTTCGAGGGTGAGTCTAAGGAGAGCAATATCGTGGGTGAGGGAGACGGTGCTGTAGGGCGCCGCCATCACAGTCTTCACCGAGTACATCCTGTTGGTCTCGCTCAGGTCCCAGGCCCCCGTCACCACCTTCACCTCGTCGAAGCTGCCAGCAGGAGCGAAGGACGGGGGCACGTTGATCAAACCAATGGTATTACTACATTAATAATACATATTCAAAGCTAGGAGTTATCGAATTGAGAATGGCATGATGGGTATTGATGGTGTCCTAGGAGAAAATGACAGTGGCTGTAGACTGAGGGATATATATTACCTAAGGGCCACTAGCACTAGTGGCCTCGACGAGGACACGAAGCCGGCGGCTTGTCAAAAGGTCCTCCATTTGCCCTAATGAGTTTTTCCAGTAAAATATATATATATATATATATATATATATATATATATATATATATATATATATATATATATATATATATATATATATATATATATATATATATATATTCCTGTTTCATTCCTTCCTTCCTTCATGGTCACACACAGAAATACAAACCCTCGTTTGTATGTGTGTGTGTATGGGGAGGGGGTCATGGGGTTGAGGAAGGGGCAGGGGATGGGGGGGGGGCAGAGTGTGGGTTGATGGGTGGTGGACTCACTTGAAGGTCTGTGTACAGTGGGCGGCCGTAGCAACCAAGGTATCAGAGATGAGAGTCCCTCCACAGAAGTGTCGACCATGGTACTGCAGCGACACCTGCCACGGCAACTGACCTGATTCCTCGCCACCCGAGAGTAAAGTCACAATGTTTGAGTTCAGCATGTGATGAAAGTACGTGTTTATTAGTGAAAACCCTCCTGGCCTCATACTGTGACCAGGGTCAATATTACAGCCAGTCCTCCTAAAATGACAGCAACTATTTGGTCAAACGTGCAAAAATGAACTGTTGCAGTAACAATGTCTACGTTTTGTATTATCTATTCTGTAGAGGACATCAAAAAATAAATCAAATGTAAACATTTCAGGCTTAGTATAATATATGTGTATTATATTAGGCTAAGACAGCATATAATAGGCCTGGGGTTGCTTGGACAGCTTCGGTTAGGTTCATAAGTTACTTTTTAATTTTCTTAATTTGCCATGTGGAGTAATTCAGTCATATAAAAGGCGAGTTTTTTTGGTCCAACAGCCAACTGTTGTACGTCCTAGCAAAGAGTTTCTGTAAGTTCTATAATTTTTTGGACGATGGGTTGAATATTAACCATTTGCCTCCATGATGTGTATACGAATCCCTTCAGCTATTGATATCGCATCCCCCTTTGTGTTGTTACTGGAGTAAAGCACATGCTCACGTACAGTTCGTCTCCGTACGTAATACACTTTAATACTCCTTACACGCCTTATTCTCCATGATAATGACATTTGCCTACACTCCTCATACACAAGTGTGTATATCTGTCACATCAGACCGCTAAACATATGGACATTTTCCCCACATATCCATAAATCACACACATGTCCCCCCACACCGGACCAACTCTCCCTCAACACCTGAATACTCACCACGCTTCACCGGCTCCCCGCCCACTATGCGATCCGGGCGGGTAAGGTCTCTTGGAAGCAAGTGGGCGGCCTCCACACCCGCTCCCGCCCAAATGCACACCACGGCTATCCACGCCCTCATCCCTCTGTGGGTAGAAATGTTAGCTGTCAGAATTGTAACTCAATAGGTGCTTTATTTGGGAATTATTCACGTAGAGGATGCTTTTTTTTCTGATTTGCAGGGCAAAGGCATAATTATAATGCACACGTCTGTTAGGTGAGGTACGTCTGTGAGTCTGTCGACGGCAATACTCTGGTAACAAATTGTAGAAAACTAAACTGTAGGGAGAGGCTCAATGCATGGTCACAACATATAACATATGTCAAAACATATAACATATTTAAGAGGACATGGTCACAACAAATAACATATTTAGAGGACATGGTCACAACATACTTTAATTATAAAATATTAAAATAAACCTTAGTGAGAGTTACTCACTGTTCAGGTTTAACTGACAAATTAACCCAAAATTAATGTGTGTACTTTAACAGAGCGACGCCATCCCACGGGCCGGCCGACACCGCTTGACTACTACGTCACGCACCATAACAATCAATTAGAAAAGTAAATTTGTCTTCTGTCACTTCTTATAAATTATGTAGCTATAAAAAACTAACTAATTAATAAAAAAATATTGAATTAACATCATTAATTCGAGTTTGTGATAGACAGAGCCCTATAAACTCTCATTGAGCAAACAATATACGAGAGTTTTCTCCTTGACTCTGGAGGTGGAGGGATGAGGGAGAATTTGGCGCCATTACATGTCCCTCATCATTGCCCTTGTGGATGTGTTCATTTATATGTATATTGTTGTCAAGGTGGATATGTTGGTGAGGGACAAGCGGGGGAAATGAAAACCGTTACAAGGAATGATAATATCAATAAGATCATACGATCATTAAAATTGTGAGAAAATTAGGCGAAGTCAATTATAGATCTAAATTCAACCTAAAAGTGACTTGGCTGACAGGAAGGTGTTGATTCAGCAAGTTCTATCAGGTGGAATTCTGCCTGAATTACCTTAAATTTAATTTAAGAGAATAAATTTAACCCTTAAATTCAAGCTTTGCATTTGTTACTCACGTGGCTACAACTGCGAGGTGATTCCATGAAATATCTGTACCCTAAAATTGGCAACCTAGTACTGTCAAGGGTTGGGTTAAGGGTCTGACGACTTCCAACCTTTTGTAGTCAGTGTAGTCTAGCAGTACAGTACTGGAGATGCTTAAGTACATGGAGCCCTCGCTGACTGGGTTCGAATCCTTCAGGGAGTGAGAAGTTTTCGGTTGCATATTGGCTTAGGGACCATTCAAGCTTCTTCGCATATATATATATATATATATATATATATAAATATATATATATATATATATATATATATGTATATATATATATATATATATATATATATATATGTATATATATATATATATATATATATATATATATATATATATATATATATATAGGGACCATTCATATATATATATATATATATATATATATATATATATATATATATATATATATATATATATATATATATATATATATATATATATATATATATATATATATATATATATATATATATATATATATATATATATATATATATATATATATAAAGGTCTGTATGCTCAAAATGGGAAGGGAGGATAGGGTACATGGGGGTGAGGGATAAAGGAGGGAAAGGGGAAAGGGGAGGGGACGGGAATTGGTGGAAGAGGGGGGGAAAAGGGGAGGGGAAGGGAAGACGGGGGACGTGGAGAGAGCGGAAAATAAAGAGGGCTGGAACGGAAGGTGGGGGGGGGGGGTGAGACTGTCCCGGGCGCCACCGGATACCACTCCTAGTACTAACATTAGAATAGAGGAAGTGCCTTCCTGGCTCACTCTTTACATCTACTCATACTAGTCTATCCTACACTTGAACCACTCCAACCAACCCACGCCTATAATTTTTAAAAATTTTCCCCGAGGGGCGAGTTTATTGGGCAGCTCCACTCATCCTGTGAGTGGACACACCGCCATAGCAGCATGAACAACACTCCCCAATAGGAAGAAAACCCGCTGGGTTGTTCATCCTGTACACACGTCTATAATGTTACCCGAAACTTTGTTCCATTAATCAACAATCCCTGTTTCCGAACAAGAATTTACCCGGGTTTCCTTAGTCGAATCTAATGCAATATGTGTCCATTGCTCCCCATTCTGTTTTGTAATGTACATACCTGTATTTAGAACCATATTAATCTCCTGCTTGTTAAAACCTTTTATCTATTGCCAAACTTCAAGCATGTTACCCCTTTATTCTTAGAATTGTTCAAGAAATTAAATACAAGAATGTCCTAATAGACGGGATTAATTACCATCCTTCGCTACATGCCTTCAAGAGTACAGTGCTCAAAACTGAAGTCAGGGCAGTGCAGCAGGTGTGTAAGGTGCCCCAGATGTGTGCCTCGGTGTCAGGAGGGTACAGCTGGTGTGTGGAGTGTCCCAGATGTGTGCCTCAGTGTCAGGAGGGTGCAGCAGGTGTGTGGAGTGTCCCAGATGTGTCCGTCAGCGTCAGGACATTGCAGCAGGTGTATGGCGAGACCCAGATTGTGCCAGATTTGAGTAGGCCCAACACTTGCACGGCACACACGTGCACGGCACACACACCAGACAGTGGTCGTGCACAGTCTTCCATCATGCGTACGCGCAAGATTTATTACCTGTCGAAGGTCTTCCTCTTGGTGGCATTCTAATTAACTACTTTGTCTCTATTTAATAAAGAACTTTACATTTTACCAACGCGTGGACACATCCTTGTTGGTGGAGGAGATGGTGAGGCAAATTGTATAGTCATTACCAGGGAGGAAATGATTAAACATCGAACTATTAAAAACAAACAAATCCCCAGGACCAGATGAAGCCTTTGCCAGGGCCTTAATCCAAGAAAAGTAAATGTTGTGTCAGTCCTTTAAGACTTTAAGAAGGGAAGTACCGCCCTTGTCGTACTGTCGGCCAATTATTTTAACGTCCATTGTGAGAAAACTGCTTGAATCAATAATGGCTAAATTGTGCTACAACAGCTGTTTGGCACTAACCTATCCTCAGGCAAGGCTGCGGCCGTCCCCGAAGATTCATTCATAACTTTTAACATACTTTATAATAAAAAATAGATTTGATCCCATATAAAATTAGTTATTATAAATTCAAATTCTGAGTATAGTTATGCGTAGGTCAGGTTAGTTGTTTAAATTCTGTTGGCGATTATTTGTATTTAAAGTACGTGGGTGAAGCATTTCCAGCGTTGTAAACCTTTTTCATTCATAAAGAGGGGGTTTGGCGGGTGCATGGAATTACTTTCGGGCCTTTCGAGGATGGGATGAGAAAAGTTCACACGTCATCAAGTCGTTTGTAAACCGTTTTTAATTCGTAGACGAGGTTTGGCCGCTGGATTAACCAGCATTTGGCCCTTGTTGATGAGGACGGGCTGTTAAAAGACCCCTGGAGCCACACACGTCACTGGCATCAACTATATGTGAACCCGAAGGTAAGGGAATTATAGCGTCTGCTGTAAGCAGTTTATTTAACGACGGAACTGATTAAATTCAATAACTGCTCATAATGATCTAAGGGGTAGACTAAGGGGTACCTCGCTGTGCCCAGGTCTCTTTCTCCCCCTTCTCTTATCTCGTTCACTATCTTCCCCCCCCCCCCCCCCCCCTCTCTCTCTCTCTCTCTCTCTCTCTCTCTCTCTCTCTCTCTCTCTCTCTCTCTCTCTCTCTCTCTCTCTCTCTCTCTCTCTCTCTCTCTCTCTCTCTCTCTCTTCCCATTTTCTCCATCACCAACTGTCCATTTGTCTCTCCCTCTCCCATTTTCCAAACATCTACCTTAACCGTCTCTGCCATTGTAGGACCAAATAGTAAAGATGTTATTAAACAGGGAGGATGCTTAATAACATGTTTAATAACATCTTCCCTGGTAACTACTGAACTAGTCAACTTGTCCTCTTCTCTACCAATAATGACTTGTTCGGCTGAAGGCATAATGTTCAATTCATCTTTAACTACAGACAAAATAAGACAAAATATTTTAAATTAACATTTACACAATTATTTGTCATTATCGGTTATCTGACCTGTGTCAGTTTTTAATGGACTTTTCCTTTCCCTAATTTTTGTTTGATATTACTGAACAAACATTTAGGATTTGTCTTTGCTTGCCTTCCTAAACAAACTTCATAATTTCTTTTTGCCGATTTTTTTTAACATTTCTAACCAGTTTGACAAATTCTTGTTCTAGACTGACTTTCCCATTCTTAATCCTTTTGTACCATACTTTCTTTTACATACAAGGTTCTTCAGACCTATAGTTATCCATTTGGGTTGTTCATTATTTGATCTTAACCATATGTATGTTTAGATCGAATAATGCGTTCCTAGGCTTTACTTAGAATGTTTGCAAATAATGTGTATTTTGAATCTACATCGCAAGCCTGTGTTACGTCACCCCTCGCCAGGTTCACATTCCCTCATAGTCAGGTCTGTCCAATCTATTTTATCTAAGAAATTTCTTAGTCCATTAAAATCAGGTTTTCGGAAATCTGGCACCTTAACCAAGTTCTCTTACACATCTGTCCCATTCTATGTAAAATATGATTTCCTTGTGATCACTGATCCCACTAGCTCGCTCACTGTTCCCCAGCTCGCTCACTGTTCCCCAGCTCGCTCACTGTTCCCCAGCTCGCTCACTGTTCCCCCCAGCTCGCTCAGTGTTCCCCAGCTCGCTCACTGTTCCCCAGCTCGCTCACTGTTCCCCCCAGCTCGCTCACTGTTCCCCAGCTCGCTCACTGTTCCCCAGCTCGCTCACTGTTCCCCAGCTCGCTCACTGTTCCCCCAGCTTGCTCACTGTTCCCCAGCTCGCTCACTGTTCCCCAGCTCGCTCACTGTTTCGATGTCATTAATTTGTGTCTCCCTGTTACTTAACACTGTCCAAAATATTATTTTCCCGCGTTGGTTCCTTAATGTGTTGCTTAAGGAAGCAATTGGCAATTAATAGAAAATTGAATGGTTCCGTATGCCGTTTTGATAACCTAGTTTATTCCGCTAAAATTAGTCACCGGGTGAGCGTGACGTGTTTGTCTTGTCACAGAGTCACTGGCCAGTGTGGTCACGTCTCACTAGTGCTCACCTTGTGTACCCAGTACTATCCAGGAGTGGTAGATGCCCGCTAGAGAGGCAGTTACTCGACTGGAGTGCCAAGGTGCGTGACTGGAGTGCCAGGCTAGTAACTGGTGGAGGCACAGGTGGACCCTGCCTCGCCTGTCAACTAATGAGGCTACCAACACCTGCACACCTCTCATCCCTCCCTCACCACTACCTCTAATTCTTCCCTCACCACTCCCTCTAATCCCTCCCTCACTACCTTCTCTCATCCCAATATTAAAAAAAAGGTATTAGATAGGAGGCACTAAACTACAGAGAGGGACCTGGGAGTTAGACAGCTGCTAGGGGCTGCATCTTGCGGATGTGTGTGTGTGTGTGAAATATGTAATAGATATAATAGAGGAAAAATAGATCTGGAGTCAGAACATTAGACAACCAACGGTTAGAAAGGCGGGATCCAAGAGCTAACAGCGTGATCCTGTAAGTACAAATAATACACACACAAACACACATCTTACGGGGCCTCGCGGCTGAGTGGATAGCGCTCAGGTGTCGTAGTCCTAATGGCTCGGGTTCGATTCTCGACGGGGAAAACAAATGGGGAAAGTTTCTTTCACTCTAATGCCTTTGTTCACCTAGCAGTAAATAGGTACCTGGAAGTTAGACAGCTGCTGCGAGCTGCATCCTGGGGATGTGTACTCACCTAATAGCCTAATGTGTGTGTGTGTGTGTGTGTACCCACCTATTTGTGCCTGTAGGATCGGGCATCGACTCTTGGATCCCACCATTCCAGCCATAGGTTGTTTATAGGAATGACTTCTGTCCTATTTCCATATCATTTATCTAGTTTTAATATTATGAATAGAGTTTGTTTCCACAACCTGCTCCTTAAGTGCATTCCATTTTTCCACTACTCTCACGCTAAAAGAAAACTTCCTAACATCTCTGTGACTCATCTGAGTTTCCAGCTTCCACCCACTACCACCTCATTCTGTTACTATTCCGTGTGAACATTTCATTTCGTCCTTTCGTCCACTCGTTACTGTTCGCCAGTCCGACTTCTCCCCCCTTATCGTAACTCTCTGGCTCCTTCCTGTTAGGTAGTTCCTTACCCATGCTAGGGCCTTTCCGCTTACTCCCGCATGCCTCTTAAGTTTGAACAGCAGTCTCATGTGACGGTACTGTATTAAAAGTTTTTTTTTCAGTCCAGAAATATGCAGTCTGCCCATCCTTCTCTGTCCTGCCATATTCTCGTTATTTTATTATAAATTCCAAAAGGTTTGTTAGGCATGATTTCTGTTTCCAGAATCCATGTTGATGTTTGTTTACAAACGTAATGCTCTCCAGGTGTGCAACACGTCTTAGCCTAATAATGTGTGTGTGTGTGTGTGTGTGTGTGTGTGTGTGTGTGTGTGTGTGTGTGTGTGTGTGTGTGTGTGTGTGTGTGTGTGTGTGTGTTTCGCCTAGTTGTGTTTGCGGGGGTTGAGCTCTGCTCTTTCGGCCCGCCTCTCAACTGTCAATCAACTGTTTCTACTACTACTATTTTTTTCGCAGCCCTCCCCACACACACCCCAGGAAGCAGCCCGTGACAGCTGACTAACTCCCAGGTACCTATTTACTGCTAGGTAACAGGGGCATAGGGTGAAAGAAACTCTGCCCATCGTTTCTCGCCGGCGTCCGGGATCGAACTCGGGACCACAGGATCACGTGTCCAGCGTGCTGTCCGCTCGGCCCGCCGGCTGTGTGTGTGTGTGTGTGTGCACGAGCGTGTTAGAAATACATATATGTAGTAGATATAATAGAGGAAAAATAAATTGGTTAGAAAGGTGGGGTCTAAGAGCTAATAGCTCGATTTTGCAGACACAAATAGTAACACACACACACACACACACACACACACACACACACACACACACACACACACACACACACACACACACACACACACACACACACACACACACACACACACACACACACACACACACACACACACACACACACACACACACACACACACACACACACACACACGTACACAACTATATAGTAAAACAAAACTTTACTTTTCAGAATGCTTATAAAAGTATGATTACACAACTGTTCGTTCTGTGATGAATTGAACACTTGTGGTCACTTGCACACACTGGCTTCAACACCTGCGCCCAGTTTCCACCCACTGTGCACACATTGACACATTCTATAACACACATATTATCGGTAATAACTACACTAGACAACTGACGGTTAGAAAGGCGGGGTCAGTGAGCTAAGAGCTGGAGCCTGCAGGCACAAATAGTAAAAATACACACACATATGTATCATGGATCACATATGAAGAAGTACATATGTACACCTCAGATGTAAACATTTGAGAATGTTTCATACCTTTCCTCCCGTTGGGTCTCTGATGTGTTACCTCTCAGACCAGATACACGAAGTAGTTACGCAAGTACTTACGAACGTGTACATCTTTCCTCAATCTTTGACGGCTTTGGTTATATATATTAAACAGTTTATTAGCATGAAAACTTGCCAATCAACTGTAGTTATTATTATAAACAGCCTCCTGGTGCTTCGCAGCTCATGAACTGTTAAATAATTTTAAACAAAGCCGCCAAAGATTGATAAAAGATGTACAGGTTTGTAGTAAGTGCTTGCGTAACTGCTTCGTGAATCTGGCCCCTGAATATTTGCAGCAAATAGTTTTGACAAGAGCTGGCTGTAGTGAGGTTTATATCTGTCTTGTTGTGAAGCTTGTGTTGTGTGTAGTGAGCAGGTTATGCACGACGGCTGTTGTGATGGTTTTGCTCTTTATCTTGTACGAAAAATTTTCAAGTTTTCAAATCGCAGATACAATTATTATAATTACTATTCCTCCTTTGTGTTTAGAATGCAGTAGGATGGAGTGAAAATTTGTATTGATAAAAGTGTATATTTTATTCTCTGACGAATATGCCAAAAGGAAGAAAAAGTAGATTTTGGATGATTTATGTCATGTTTGGACCGGCAGCTGCTGGGAACGTGTCCGCGGGGGTGGGGGGGGGGGGTCAGAAGTGCCAGGCTGGCCATAACTCTCCATAACTCTCCATAACCCTCAAAATGAGGAGAATCCTCATGTTTCTATATGTCTCAAAGGAATATTTTATCTGCACAAGAAAACAGTTATTGAAAAAAAAACTATTTTGGTCGGTATTGGCAAGGGCCAAAAGGGGAAAATTCCTATAATTCGCCTTTGAATCACGTCTTTTTCGTTTACTTATGAGAGTTTATGAGCACTCAGGTGCTGCACCTGCAGAGGTGGTAGCGGCAGGAGGCGCTGCCGGTGGTAATGCAGAATTAGTAGGCTCTGTAATTGTCGTTGCAGGAGGGGGGGGGGGGTTCTGTAATCTGTGTGACAGGTGTCGGAGCAGCAAGTAGATCTGCAGGTACAAAACTACGGGCTCACCATGGCCCGTGCTGCTTGGAACTTTTTGTTCCGGGTAGCGAATCTTAGACAACAACGACAACATGCTGGTACAATTACAGGCGGCAATCCGGTGTCTACCAGCAGCCTGTTGATGGATTGTGCAGACAGACATGGATCGGAACCACAGTCTTGTCGGCAAGATGTAATAGTACTAGAATTGTACCGTATGATGTAGTAGGGACTCATATAACAAGCAACATGGCTGTAGTAGGAACTCATAACAAACAACATGGCTATACAGACTTTATTATTTATCATCATATGTGAATGATGTACAATATAAACAACAAATGTACTGACAAGTGTATAATATTTACAAGTATGTACAAGATAAAATATTCTCCATATAAATATGTTATTTAATTCTTTGGTTGCTGGTGTTATGTTTATGGTGACTAGGTTGAGGCTAGTTCAGCTAGTTGAGGCTAGGTCAGCTTGTTCATCTAGTTGAGGCTAGGTCAGCTAGTTCATCTAGTTGAGGCTAGTTCATCTCGTTGAGGTTAGTTCATCTAGTTAAGGATAGTTCATCTGGTTGATGCTAGTTCGTCTAGGTCTGGGGCTAGATCACTTACAGTTGAGGCTTACGTATCTAAACTGAAGCTTATTTAAAGGCGGAATCTAACTCGTGTAAGAACCTTGGCTTACACACACTGAGGTAACGTAATATTAAGTCAAAATGAACTCTGGGACTGAGGTAATTGCATCTGCACTTGTACTCTACCTATATATATATATAATGTGTGTGTGTGTGTGTGTGTGTGTGTGTGTGTGTGTGTGTGTGTGTGTGTGTGTGTGTGTGTGTGTGTGTGTGTGTGTGTGTGTGTGTGTGTGTAAATCACGAAGATATAAACACTGTGAATAATGTGAAAATATTTAACCACAAAAGAAAAATGAAACCAGAGCTGACTTGAGTACTTTCGCGTTAATAAACACATACAAAGTACAAACACTGAAAATTTAATATATAGACAGGAAGATGTATGAGGTGTAATACAATGTCATTGTAATATTGGTTCATGAATATAAGAATAAGAAGAAGCCGCAGAAGGCCTAATGGCTAATGCATAAGAACAAGATGAAACTGTAGATCTAATGAAGAATAAATGTGAGTTCCCAGAAGCCTTAATGGAATATCTGTGTCAATCATCTTACAAAGATGGTGTTTTAATTGATCCATTAAAATGTATCAAAATTGTACAAACCATCACTAATATTCATACTGTATGGTTTTGTAATTTGTAATAAAGCAGATTCAATAATGTTTCTATTGAAAAATTATTGAAATTCCAATAATGAAACTTTTGCAATTTGTTACTTAGGAAGAATACTCAATCAATTTGATGATAATTTTCTAACTAATGAACAAATAATGCATTAGATTATTGACCACTTCTTACAGAATATTTATGCTGCAAAATTCTGAATTTCAAATCTAGATGTTTGACCTATATAGAATGTATTACAATCTTTACAGGATATTTGGTAAATGACACAGTTATCACTACAAGGGCTGTTTCTCTAATAATTTTCCAATATTGTTTTCATAATTAAACACCACATGTACATAAAAATGATTCAAGGTCTTGACAATATTTTCAAACAGAAAAAATATGATAACCGTAACACATTTTTTGAGTGAATTTCTCAATGCTAATTTTATGTACGTTGAGCATTGCTTGACACTTTTTGATGTACATATTGTGTTTGTGTTCATGAGCCAGAAGTACAGTAATATTGTCTTGTACCTCTCACGTCACCGTCTTGCCTCTAGATGCAAGAGTTGTACTTCATTGTTTGTACTTTTGATAACGTCTTGATTAACACGAAAGCGCTCAAATAAATCCTACTTTCAGTTTTTCCTTTGCTACTATATATATACAGTATATAAATGCAGATAATGTTTAGTCAATAAATTCGAGTAAGCTATTCTGTGTTAGTTAGATCATCTTTATTGAAGTTAAACTAGAATGAGGTTAGATACTCTGAGCTGGATATAGTACCATAATATAAATACAAATATTATATATACGTGAACAAACCTGAGAGAAAAAGGTACACATAAAGATGTTCAGGTTAGGGAGTTGGAATGTCTGGTCAGGAAAACAATGTAGAGAAGACATGAAGAGAACTGGAGCGACTTAAGAGCCTTAGGATTACTAGCAAGGTAGACAGGGTAGACAGAGTAGACAGGGGACATACACCGAGAATTGTACCCCCCTTTATGGTATATATATATATATACTTTTTTTAATAATGTGTACTTGCTGTGTAGTCAGCTGTTGTCGTGGTGGTTGTAATAACCGTTGAGAGGTTGGTAGGATGTAACGTGACCAGGTATGGAGGGAGGACACAGCTCCAAGAGAGCAAGTCTATGGAACGAGGAGGAGAAGAATGAGGGAGCAGTCAGAAAGAAACACACAAAAAAATGATAAAAATGTAGATGGGAAGACGAATATGGAATAATGGGAGAGAAAGGAAGACATTTGAACAATGAGATGTAGATGAGACAGGAAATAAGAGCACAAAACTGTGTTAGAATAAATTAGACAAATATAAGAGGATGATGCTGGTAAATGCAACATTTTGAGTTGTAAATATTGCTGAGATAGGAAACTTGTGCTAATGAACAACAAAATGAGAGGAGGTGAAGAATGCTGGAAGAGGAGCCTGATGAATGATGATGGCTACAGTGAGAGTCAAGGCTAAATATAGTACATAAATCTTTATGGTTAAAGCCTTATGGAAGTGTCACATAAATGCCTCAAGATGAAAGCTAAAATTCAATTCTTGTATAATTATAAATGCGATTACAGCACACAATTCAACCTCTCATATTCATTTCAATGTCATTTATGTATACTTAAAAAGTATAACGTAGCTAGAAATATTTAATCATTCATACCCATCTTGCCAAGTAACAAGGTAGGTTTCAAGTTATATTTATAATTCTTTTAAATATTTACAAGGATTAAAAATCACTTTTAATGTTGTTAAGTGTTGCACTTAAAACAAATAATAATATACACTAGCGCACGTTAGAATGGCTGGCCACAACAACAACGGTTATTGACGTGTTGTGGCGGGGTAATGAACTATGGTATGGTGTGTACAGGTCTGGTAGACGAGTGGCTTCACTAGGTGTGTCGTCGGCCAATCAACACCAAGCTTACAGATGAACCAATATATGATGAGAATTAATATATATGTCTATATTTATACAGGTTTGTACTGTTGAAATCTGTCTATCCACTGTTTATGGACACGGCGTATCTAAAAATATAAAAATACATGTACTGTATATTATATATACATTCTATAAACAGAGATATTAAACAATACGATTACATGCTTAACAAAAATATATGCAGAAATACACAGTCACTTTATCAGTGATGCAATTGCATTACCCAGAGGTATTATTTAAAAAGAAAATGAAATTTTCAATGATATGCCTGAGAGAGCAACTCTGTGTTCATGTTGTGTTAGTGCATTGTCAGTGTGTTACCATCACCTCTCAGCTTGGTGCAGCCAGTCACACAGGTGCCTACATGCGTACTGTGAGGTACGTGCTGAACCTATGAGTTTTAGACTAACTTCAGACTGTAATGTAAATATAGCAGAGTATATCTGCTTGTGATGACAGAGGCGGTGAGGTGTGCTGGATTATCCAGTGCGTGGGGTGTTTGCTCCTCCTGGGTCTTGCACCATTGTTCACTTTGCTGCACTTGTACAAATAATGATATTAAACCTTTCGCATTTGCATTACATATTGTATTGGAAGAACGTTTTATGACGAGTGAGGAATACAAGATATCTAGTCTCCATTAGTTACTAATGCTCATTAATTAATATAATGGCTTGCTCTATATTTGAGACTATATCTGAGTCTACCTTGGACTCTCTCCCTCGCTCTCTCTCTCTTGATTAACCAGCACTAAATCCCTGGTTTGAAGCGTCGATTAATCCTTACGTTGAAGGATTTTTTGGTCTACTCTGTCACGATAATATATAATTCTCGCTCCTAAAGCTCTGTGGTCAGCTCACATCTAGGTGCTGGCAGGTGGCGTCTAGCCTGCGCCTTGCAGCTGACAGCTGTGTTATTCTTGCTGCCAATCTGTTGAGTTCCACGTCTACGATTTTCGACATGATCCAAGGTATCGTCCCGCAATGGGTCCCCAGCCAGCACCAGGCCCACCATGACTGGCTTTCTGACGATGTTGATATACATGTCCTCACCTGACAACACAGCATTTATCGTGTCACTCTCAAGCAGCTGAAGCTGCTCATTCTTCACTTGCTCTAGATTTTTGGGATTTTCTGAGTGATACGCTTTCCCCGGAGGTCTCTGAGTCCCGTGCTGGTGGTGGCGGGGGACGTCAGATATGATGTGTTTACCGTTCTCGCTGCCCTCTAATAAACGCTCCATGTTCTTTATATTCATTATTTTCTCCGCGATGGTTGGCGAGGTTTGGGAATTGTCTTTCTGGATATTGTTGAAGTGATTCATGTGATTCATCTGCGTTGTGGTATTGTTGTTATTTTCCCTGTTGACTTCATCTCTCCTCAGCATCTCCTCGTTGGTGACGTGGAAGTCAACATCCGAGTGGTATTGTGACGTCATGCTAGTGTTGAAATTAAAATCTTCGAAGTGGGTCTCAACGTCGTCCTCGAACAATCCATCGTCCTCGTCCTCGTTCTCCTCCAGAATTATAGGAGTAAGGCTCATGAGCGAGGTCGTCCTTGACCCCATGTGGCTCAGCAAGTCATCTGGAAAACGAAGATGGGTGAGAGGCTTGGATGGGTGAATGGAAGATGGGTGAGAGGCTTGGTGTAGTGAGAGATGGGTGAACTAGGGAAGAGTAACAAGGCGTGCAGTATATGGGTGTCTCCCCGTCGTGGCAGCCCAATAAAAAGGGCTGGACAGGTGGCCTGTCTCACCAGCCCATTGTTTTGAGTTAATGCAACGGACACAATACGGGGTATGAAAACACGAGAACCCATCTAGGTGTTCTCCATGTTTTCTATGCGTAGGCTCGTTAGGTTAGGTGGGTGTTTTGGATTGTTCGCTGGTTTTAGTACCCCGTATTTTCTCTGTTGCTGCGCCTCAAAAGACTGAGCTGGTGACACTCCATCGAGCTTTATTGTTTATATATTTGTTTATATTAAACGAATTGTTTATTCAAAGATCCAGCTACAGCCTGGATTTTGTGTGTTGAATATTTTTGTACTAAAAACATACCTAATTGCTTACTGTAGGTACCATTAATTAAGTTATAATCCTTAACTGAAAATCGGGCAACTGGTATTAATTTTTGTGATTCATGAGCATTAAAAAAGTATATTTAATTGTTATAATTTAATCATTACGTGATAAAAATAATTCTAAAATTTATGTAATATATATATAATAATAATATATGGTAAGAAAAATTGTCCAGCATTGAATGGACATTTTGGACTATCAGACATGGACTATCTGATGGGTCCCCTCGGAGCGTCCCGGAGCTCGCGGCCTGGTGAGCAGCAACACTAGTGCTCCATCAGCTCCTGGAGTCACAAGCACCTACCGGACACTAAACGCAGAATCTGGTCCAGTCATTAGAGCAAAGAGAGTCTGGGAATACAAAATCAATTCAAGCCAAGAGGAAAATCGACCAGAAGGATAGAATTCCCGAAAACAAGCAACTGCGTGGAGAAACATTCCCAAACCTGTTAAATATGAACACACTCTTTAACCAGTTACTACCGCTTGTTAGTGACACTTCTCCATCACCAGATGGCAGTCCAGGGAGCCAGTCAGCCAGCCACTTGAGACATACACCTTCCACAGACAACCCGAAGCCCCTGAAAAGGAAATGAAAAGACAGGGAGCCACACAAGAGGTACCACCAAAGACCTTTAATGCCCCCCCCCCAAAAAAAAGAAGAATCACTGGGTCACTGTGCCCACTGTCACACAAGCCCAGTGCGGACTGACCAAACAATCATTCTATGGATAATCTGGGACACCCGGACCCTGGAACAAGGATCAGGGACACCGGATTGACAGAAAAGCATCACATGGGCACCAAAGAGTCTCTGGAACCTTGCCATCTCATTCATGGCTAAAAGGAAGGAGGTGGCTATTAATGGAAAAAACTTTCTCCAAGGCTAAAAGAACAAATTGCTCGCGTCTGCAGCAGTGTGTAGCTCACCAACCGTAGAACAGAGAAGCACAAGAACACAGCTGCCAAGACTTCACAAATTGGACCAGAGCCACAGCAAACCAGCAGAAATTGAGCTCCATGAAGCAAGACCCGTCAGAAGAATATGGAAGACCGACTCCTCCAACAGCCCACTCAAGTGAGTGGGTGCAGCAGATACTGCGCCCAGTCCCCCAAAGGTAACAGAGAAAGGATGTAAGAAAGGAGGAGGATGGGAGACTAAAACCCAGACTAAACCCCTACCAAAAAATTAGACCCGAACTCCAAAAAGGCAGGACCTATTAACAAGGCGAGGGAGGACCCGACCTCGCAACAAATCCACCAGTGCAAAACCCAGGGAAAGACAAGACAACGGAAACCTACAAGAAGAAGAATCCTTTAAACCTACTTTTGAATATCTTGCAACTTGATGGTGCTACATAAGTCTCCCCGGCTTGGTGCCTTCATTGATAATTACTTACATGAACTCCCCACCCAGAATAGTAGAACGCGTCTATAGACACATCATGTGCATTACAAATGTCTCTTACCACTGTACGACAAAGAGAGAGACTCTTGTTCTTGCTGGCTGTCCCTAGAGGCATGATAAGGATGCGAGGAGGAAGCAGAGACGGTGGGAGTGCCCTGAGCGACGAGTCGACACCGTTCAGCTTGGGCCTGGCGCCGGGTCTGGTACAGCGTCCCGCCAGCAGGCACCGTCTCCAGGGATGGCATCTCTCCGCTCTCCTGAAACACCACCATTCATTAAACCTTTTCCAGACATTCGTATATAGAAATGTAATAAATCATTAATAAATAAATATATATAAAATTTAATCTTTAAAATATATAGGTTAGCCATTAAAATGTGGTTGGTTATGTGTCCACCAATCAGAGAGATAAACAACCTCTGACATCATATGACTAGGACGTGAATCATCTAATAACACCTTCATGCAAAAATGGCCTCCCAGGGAAAAAATCACGCCAAATCACTTACTCTCGCAGCCTTCTGCCTCTTGTACCTGGCGAGGACTCTCGCGGCCCAGGACAACAGCCTCCTCCAGTCCCCGGGCACCGTCACGATGTGCTCCTCCCGACGGTTGAGCAGCGTCAGCACCCGCGATAAGTCACGAACCACAGCCCTAGAAGTAAGGTCAAAGGTTAGAAGCAGAGAATAGAAAACACAACGGCCGATGATGACGAACAGCAGCTGATAAAATCCGACATAATCAGATATCGGATTAGATTAAGTTCCTGGCTTGTAAGACTAGAACGATATAAAGATCCTGGCTTGTAAGACTAGAACGATATAAAGATCCTGGCTTGTAAGACTAGAACGATATAAAGATTATTGTACTAGCAAAGTTGTTGTATTGCATTCAATCACTTTGTATTGGACAGCTCTGTAGTGTTCTTTATTGTGTTATATTGTATTGTATGGTTATGAATTTGTATTGTACTGTATAGTGGATATTACACGATATTAAAACTCCTTCAAGCCTTGGATGGAGGGTCAAGTTCCTCTAACCCTACAGTTATTTTTGACCTTGTTTGTCTATGAGTCTTGGTCATAACGTCTCCGGATAAGTCAAGGCGCCGCTCTTACTCACCTGTAAGCCTTAGCCTTGGTGTCTGTGGGCGAGTCAGGTCCCTGGAAGGTCCTGAAGCGGTTCCTGGTGTGGGTGAGCATCTCCAGGAAGTTGGTGGCCTCTCCTCGGAGCTCCCGAAGCTGCGTCAGGAACTCTGTCCTCTCCTCGTCCGCCACCGACACTTCTGTAGGGGTGGGAGAGGACGAGAGAGTGGGTGAGGAGCACCAAACTCTGTGGACTCAGCATGCATTATCCAGCCAATACTGACCTAACATAACCATGGATAAGGGAAGGGAAATCAGTCTAAAATCAGGAAATGGGTTCGCTACTGTGATATGAAAAACATCGTGCGAGTTTCGGCATTTTTAATGTGTTGTCACGTGATTAGCCCCCTAGTGTGCAAGTAAATGAAAAGTGATAAATAATGTAAATAAATAATAATAATAAAATAATGAAATAATTAATTGTTACATTTTTCTCTTAAATCAGTAGCTTTCTCGAGTGGCTGGCGAGTGTAGGGGTAACTGCACTCGTTTCTGTAGCAGGAGGGAGGGGTGAGAGCCCCTTGCTGTGGCTTGCAGGCGGGAGGGGTGAGAGCCCCTTGCTGTGGCTTGCAGGAGGGAGGGGTGAGAGCCCCTTGCTGTGACTTGCAGGAGGGAGGGGTGAGAGCCCCTTGCTGTGGCTTGCAGGAGGGAGGGGTGAGAGCCCCTTGCTGTGGCTTGCATTAGATACTTCCAGATACAATAGTCAGGCTGTGTTAATATAATTAAGCCAAATAAAGTGTTGTAGCGTGGCACACAGTTGTGAAAGGTGACAGAATATGTTTGAAATGTTAAGGAGACAAAGAGTTGTCTGATGTATACGTTATCTGAATTAATAATAGTCTTAGAATAAGAGGCTTTAATGACGAATCCTGATGTCATATGAAGTTATTTACAGAACGTTGAGTTACGACTGCTAAGCCGGTGTGAGGTGCTGTACAGTGCTAGGAGGGGCAGGAAGTGCTAGGTGGGCGAGGTGTGCAGTGCTAGGAGGGGCAGGAAGTGCTAGGTGGGCGAGGTGTGCAGTGCTAGGAGGGGCAGGAAGTGCTAGGTGGGCGAGGTGTGCACAGTGCTAGGAAGGACGGGAAGGGCTAGATGGGCGAGGGGCAAGAAGTGCTAGATGGGTGAGGTGAGTGCACAGTGCTAGGAGGGGCAGGAAGTGCTAGGTGGGTGAGAAGTGGCATGAGCAGGGGTGCAGGACAGTGGAGTGGACCAGGTGGATGCAAATTGAGGTAGACAATAAGCAACAAACAGAAAGTATGATGAGAGTTAATGATATACGAATCATTTAAAAACTGAAGAAGCAGCTCGAACAAACACGTTATACAAAATATCATACAAATGAACACCATTTTTTTTTAAAGTTAGAGAACAACATGTTAAGTTGATGTAAAGGCCTGATGAAATATTAAGATGAAATAAGAGAATTTTACCTGGTGAAGAACAAAGTTAAAGTAACCGAAGAGAAAATTTTATAAACCTGATTGATAGAAGTAATGAATAATATGAACATGAGTCCTCTCGGTGGCGTGAGGTTTAAATATGGGGAACTCTGGCATTGTTGAGACATGAAGACATTAATTTACGCATCAACGGAAACATAATGAAATGGGTGTGAACACTTGCCAGATAGTGTGGGAACGACGAGCTGGACTATTGTGGCAACATTGGGAAAGAACTGTTATTGTATTTTTGTATAAAAAACATTAGAGTGTGTGGAGAAGCTGTGAGTGTGCGAGAAAGAGGGGAGTGAGTGTGCGAGAAAGAGGGGAGTGAGTGTGTGAGGAAGAACCGAGTATGTGAGAACTAGGAGTGTGTGAACTACACACATGAGAGGGTGTTAGGAAATATAACTAGACATAAACAATTGATAACAGTAAGTGTACTAGACATAAACAATTGATAACAGTAAGTGTTGGACACCGTGGTTAAATGAGGAGGGGAAGCCTGTAGTGCGAGGGATGGTTGAACGGCCCGGTTGTCTCTTGATATTCTTCTTCTTAATAATAATAATAATAATAATAATAATAATAATAATAATAATAATAATAATAATAATAATAATAATAATAATAATAATAATAATAATAATAATAATATTATTATTATTATTATTATTATTATTATTATTATTATTATTATTATTATTATTATTATTATTATTATTATTATTGTACTGACATTTCTTCCGGGATCAAGTCTTCTCACAACATGATAGTGAGAAACAGGAAGAAATAATGATGGGAAACAATAGATTAAAAAATATTATTGTTCTTAGGGTCTTACCTGTTGTTTTTGGTCTCTTATCCCTCCATAATCTGGGGATGGGGAGGTGGTGGTGGTGGTGGGCGTGGTCTGGCGGGGGTGTGTCCGGAGGGGGCTTGGCGCGCCTGCGCATGTAGAGGAGGGCCCCTATGACCACGCCCACACACACTGCCCCGCCTACTGCAGCACCAGCAATGATGGTCAGGTCGCGACCAGACACCAGCGCCAGCATACTCCGCTCTGGGGAGGGGGTGAGGGAGAGCAGTTAGTGGGGAGCACACGAGAGGGGAGAATGATAAGCGAGGGGGAGACAGGATTGACTGGGCGAGCTCCCTGAATGATGTAAAGATTACGTTTGTGATGTACTGAGTGACAAGGAAATAAGAAGGTACGGTATTGAGGACTGGACAATAACTGAGCATTTATGCACATAACTAAACTTGACTTCTCGAGTACGTGTCTACGCTATATTATACAGACGACTTTACGGTATATTATACAGACGACTTTACGGTATATTATACAGACGACTTTACGGTATATTATACAGACGACTTTACGGTATATTATACAGACGACTTTACGGTATATTATACAGACGACTTTACGGTATATTATACAGACGACTTTAAATACTTGGTTATATGATCGTTGTGATACTAGTCCGCTCGTTCCATTAATGCGATTGACCCGAGCGGGAAGTGGGAGAGCTAAAGTGATATTTTCCTGTGGCATACTTCCTGCCTTTGTCCCTCCTGCAGCTGAGCTTGCGGGTAGAGTTCACGCGGAAAACCGTAATCAGTCAGGCTGTTCGTATTAGCGCCCCGCAGTGCAGTGCTGAAATCACAACCCTTCGCTATGAAGAGAGTCTGAGTAGACTCAACTTTACCATACTTCACTATAATTTGAATCACAGACACATAACAACAACATATACAATTTTGGGCGTATCTCATTTGGTTAAGCAGGAGGAAATGTTGGGTATAAGGCAGGTCAGTACACGGGGGAGATGGATGGCAGCGCTGCACACGGGGGAGATGGATGGCAGCGCTGCACACGGGGGAGATGGATGGCAGCGCTGCACACGGGGGAGATGGATGACAGCGCTGCACACGGGGGAGATGGATGGCAGCGCTGCACACGGGGGAGATGGATGACAGCGCTGCACACGGGGGAGATGGATGACAGCGCTGCACACGGGGGAGATGGATGGCAGCGCTGCACACGATGCACTGGCATCTTAGGGCGAACCGTTTAGCGCAAAAGTTGTGAGCACTATAGTGACAATATATATATTACAAAACAATATTGAAAAAATAGACGAGAAACAGGAGGGGTCGCGAATGACTGCATTATTGGCACGCGACCAATGGTAAGGCGGGGCTCGAGAACAACAGCTCGACCTTTCAAGTACATTTAGAAGAAAAGACACCCAACTATTCGGGTGCTCAGAGACATCTTCCGTCACAAGCTCACAAAGACACACACGCAGAGACGCCCACAAGTACAGGCCCCCAGACACACCCACAGAACCACTCACTTGTTAGGACCCATTCGGGCCGCTCCAAGCAACAGCCTAGTGGACCAAACTCACAAGTCAAGCCTGGCCTCGGGCCGGGCTTGGGGAGTAGAAGAACTCCCAGAACCCCATCAACCAGGTATCATACAAACACCCACCTGTACAGATGCGGCCCATGAGAGGTGGGTGGGGAGGCCAGATGGTGGAGTGGCCAGGGGGACAGGAAGAACTACAGAGACGGGTGGCCACCATCATCACGTACAGGCACTTGACGCACTCTGCTGTCTCCAGGTCGCACCGCAGGCAATCAGGCTGGTTACACGTGGCTGTGGGACAGAGAGGGAGAGTTTAGACAGCTGCTGTGGGACAGAGTGGGAGAGTTTAGACAGCTGCTGTGGGACAGAGAGGGAGAGTTTAGACAGCTGCTGTGGGACAGACAGGCAGAGTTTAGACAACTGCTGTGGGGCAGAGAGGCAGAGTTTAGACAGCTGCTGTGGGGCAGACAGGCAGAGATTAGACAGCTCCATCTCCATTTACTCTACGGGTGTATGAGAAAATGGATGTTTGACGGTTAAGAGAAAACGGATGTAAGCCGGTGGAATCAAAGGGTAACCAATGTACAATACTTGCACAATCGCAGGAGGTGCGCCCAGCTGGGTAAATTCAGTTCACGAATATTTCTCTAACATTATTACTCTCCGTGACCGTAATTCATAAAAAAATTGTAGTTTTTTGAAGAATGTAAGAACAGAACTTCTTTCTCTTAGAGAAAAATATATTATATATGATAATTTCATTATCAAAAGAAGGCGCCAAGCCTGGAGGACTGCATACATAGCATTGTAATGTGGTATGTTAAGGTCTCACACCCTTGCCCATTATGTTCTTGATTGTCCGTTGATTAATGTATATAGAAACACTGAGATAAGGACTGTAGTGAAGATGGTTACAGTAGTACAGACGGTGTGTAGTGAAGATGGTTACAGTAGTACAGACTGTGTATAGTGAAGATGGTTACAGTAATACAGACGGTGTGTAGTGAAGATGGTTACAGTAGTACAGACTGTGTGTAGTGAAGATGGTTACAGTAGTACAGACTGTGTAGTGAAGATGGTTACAGTAGTACAGACGGTGTGTAGTGAAGATGGTTACAGTAGTACAGACTGTGTGTAGTGAAGATGGTTACAGTAGTACAGACGGTGTGTAGTGAAGATGGTTACAGTAGTACAGACGGTGTGTAGTGAAGATGGTTACAGTAATACAGACGGTGTGTAGTGAAGATGGTTACAGTAGTACAGACTGTGTGTAGTGAAGATGGTTACAGTAGTACAGACGGTGTGTAGTGAAGATGGTTACAGTAATACAGACGGTGTGTAGTGAAGATGGTTACAGTAGTACAGACGGTGTGTAGTGAAGATGGTTACAGTAGTACAGACTGTGTAGTGAAGATGGTTACAGTAATACAGACGGTGTGTAGTGAAGATGGTTACAGTAGTACAGACGGTGTGTAGTGAAGATGGTTACAGTAATACAGACGGTGTGTAGTGAAGATGGTTACAGTAGTACAGACGGTGTGTAGTGAAGATGGTTACAGTAGTACAGACGGTGTAGTGAAGACGGTTACAGTAATACAGACTATGTAGTGAAGATGGTTACAGTAGTACAGACTGTAGTGAAGATGGTTACAGTAATACAGACTATGTAGTGAAGATGGTTACAGTAGTACAGACGGTGTAGTGAAGACGGTTACAGTAATACAGACTATGTAGTGAAGATGGTTACAGTAGTACAGACTGTGTAGTGAAGACGGTTACAGTAGTACAGACGGTGTGTAGTGAAGATGGTTACAGTAATACAGACTGTGTAGTGAAGATGGTTACAGTAATACAGACGGTGTATAGTGAAGATGGTTACAGTAGTACAGATGGTTACAATTATGTAGAAATATGTTATATTCTATATATTCCTGTTAGAGTCGGTAGGGTCACGCTTCTCTCATTGTCTTTAAAGAGTTTTTTTCCGTTCTGTGATCCGTTGAAAAGACGTTCCTGTAGTTTAACAGGTGTGACAGGCTCTGTAGATGACATATTCGACCTTGAGACAGATCAAGATCACCACAAAAGATCTTTGCAAGCAGAGATTTTGACAGAGGGAAGAAATATTTGAGGCAACTGCACTGCACATTATACTGTCTCCTGAGCTCAAAGCGGCAGCTAAGAACATTCACGAGAATAAAGCAATAGCTGTCAGAAGTGGTGATAAGTCGCCAATATATATGTCCTCCCCAAAGAGGATAATAATAGTGAGAAAATAAACCTCATCCTCTTTGACACTACTAGAGTCCAAAGAATCTCTCTGGATACGAATCTGAATGTCTCAAAGACCAGTGAACTGGACCATCAGTACCAAGTTGTGCCAGCAAGTGAGGCTCTCGGTCCCTGAGACAAATGACAAGTTTTCTCAGAGTTGAGTTCGAGTTGCAAGATATGCGTCTCCGGTGAGTTGAAGAGAACATTGCTACAGCGTCCCGGAACACTCCGGCCTCCCATTATCTACCAGAGATTCATATCTTTTAGCTCTTAAGATCATTTATATATATATTTGGAAAAGTGCTTTATTAAATAAGGGCGGAAATATAACAAAATCGAATACCCGGGTGGTAGATAAAGAAACAATCAGACGTATTCAAGGAGAACTGCTGTGCAAAGTTGTTTCATCGCTCAGTACTACCATCTAACATGCAGAGGTCCTCACTGTGCATTGTTAGATCTTTAATGCTTGCATCAAGCTTTAAATACTATAAATTACAATCACTGAAGATGTTGACGAGAAGCTCCCCGAGTGACCAGAGGGTACACACTCACGACGCCCACACCACACCTGTTGTCCTCACCCTGTGACAAGACCTTCAGCTGCAACAAACTTTATGACGCACACTGTGCCTGGCCTGTGGTCGAATGCGCCCTCGCCAACACGCTAAAATCCTAAACACACACACAACAATAGTGGGAAGGTCATTTGCATTTAATTTACATAACACTTTCGCTACAGCTGACCTTGCTTGGACGCGGCACTCGGAATAAGAATATCGCTGTAGTAGTTAACTGGCGCTGATAGCCTCCTGACGCTATATTGGTTGTTAAAACTGGTTAGGAGGTGTTAAAACTTGTTCGAACGTTGTACCAACGTCGTATTTTCGGTGTGTGTTTGGCGGGTATATTTAGCTTGCTGTTAGGAGCGAGAGTTGAGGAGGTGGCATCAAGGTGACCACATCTTTGACCTTACCTGACGGTCTTTCTGTGGGTCCTTGGAGGGTCAGTATAGGGATGTAGGCAAGTGTAGCCCCTCAAGCATAAGGACATAAGAGCTACCAAATTTGCAATCTGGTTCTTTTGGCGAACGTGCCCATTATATTCGAGTCAGGGTTGGCATAAATAAAAAGAGTACCACTTGATATGGTGCCAACAGGAACCCCACGACGATTCTTGGAATATCATATTAACTCGACTCAGGATCATTTTTTTCATTCTGCTTTTAAAGTATAATATGCACATTAATAACTGATGTCTGCATATAAAGAAATCTTATATACTTTACCTGTAATAAGTATTCATAATGTCAGACTCTCCCCATCACCCGCTGCCTCCCAGACCTCCTGAATGGCAGACCTCCAACCAGTGCCGCTTTGCTAAGGGGAAGAACAAGATCCTCCAGCCCATGCTGCATCACGGAGAAGCTGAGTGTATGTATATATATATATATATATATATATATATATATATATATATATATATATATATATATATATATATATATATATATATATATATAAAATATATATACTTGAAAATTCCAAATGCCCTTGCTGGGGCTAGAACCTCCACCCGCGTGATGCAAAGTGAGTGCTGCACTACCACTGTACCTCCACTGCACCACCACCCTACAAAAGCTTGGGAGAGAATAACCTCGTTCAACCCCGTGCCCGAGTGCACTCGAGTTATGTGGTCAACTATTTCATCTAGTATAGGTTTCGGCACGGGACCTCCCCACATAAAATCACCCACCGCCCCTCCCCACATAAAATCACCCACCGCCCCTCCCCACATAAAAGCACCCACCTCCCCCCCTCCCCACAACAGACACCTCACCCCTCTCCTTCGCTCCAAAATAACAGAGAAAACTGATGAAAGTGTTAAAAATGAGCTTAACGGCCTTGTTAAGAGTAATGGGTGGTTACCGTCTTTAATGGGTCGTTAACGTTGTCAAGGAACAGGAGGAGTTACAGAAATTTCCAGAAATGGAAGTTATAGAAAGTAAGACGGTCATTGAAAGTTATAACAACGTTTAATATATTACTACATTGGGAGTTGTAGATGTTTACTTGTAGTTGTAGTTGTGTTTAACACGTCCAGGTGGCCGATAACACATCCAGCTGGCCGATAACACGTCCAGCTGGCCGATAACACGTCCAGGCGGCCGGTAACGAATGAGCCGAAGGGACGTAAGAAAAAACTCTTACCCTGTACGAGTAGTTAATAAGTGGAATGATCTACAAGAATAAGTTGTGGAAGGCGCTTCCATTCTCAACTTTGGGGCCAGAGTCGACAAAGTAGTTGAACGTCAGAACAGTTAAACAGACGCAACAGGTACAGGTCTGGTGGGCGGGGGATGACGACCTCACGCCCCCGTAGTCTCTGATTGGTAGATACTGATCAAGGAAATGTTCACAATGGACACCAAGAGGACGTGGATAGAAACTGATGCGATTTACAATCCAGGAACACGGATTCGATTCCCGCAAAGATCTGACAATTGGGCAATTTTTCATCTGATGCCTCTGCTCAGCTTGCAGAAAATAGGTACCTTGGGGTTAAAAAGATGTTGTGGGTTGCATTCTGGGGATACGTGTGTGTGTGGGGGGGGGGGGGGGGTTGTGTGTGTGTGTGTGTGTGTGTGTGTGTGTGTGTGTGTGTGTGTGTGTGTGTGTGTGTGTGTGTGTGTGTGTGTGTGTGTGTGTGTGTGTGTGTGTGTGTGTGTGTGTGTGTGTGTGTGTGTGCAATACCTTCCAGATCATACCATCTTAACACTCACGGTAGAGACAATGATATTAATAGCTACACTGTACTAATAAACAAAAAGAGAGAGCGGGTTCTGGGCTGAGGTTCGAGCCCATGCAGCAACCTACGACCACACCTCCACACACACCGGTCTGCCACACCTCCTGGTTGATGGGGTTCTGGGAGTTCTTCTACTCCCCAAGCCCGGCCCGAGGCCAGGCTCGACTTGTGAGAGTTTGGTCCACCAGGCTGTTGCTTGGAGCGGCCCG